CACATGTTAAGAAAAACCCCAACGTATATAAAGGAATGTTTCACTTAATGCACTCGTGAAGCAGGCAGCACTCTAAGGGCGGGGATGTTAAGAGCCATCATGGTGTGGGAAATAAATGTTTTTTTTTTTCGTTGTGGTGATCGAATCTTGGCTTAGAGAAGATTGGCTACCACTGCTTCGGCTTTGAGTCACTAGTCACCCCTGTCTGAATTGGATTCTATTGTACTTCTGTGGCAAGAAGAGCTCAGAAACACCATCAACTAATAACCAAGATTTGAAAGTGATCTACCCTGCAAAGACGCTAAAATCCCAGGTCAAGTCAATCCAGAACTCCTTGTTCGTACTCTATCAATAATCATTTGTCTTCCAGACAAATCTTCTGCATATCCAACAACCTGCGATGAAGAATACATAGCTACAATTGTGACATTATGTAAATATGAAGACATCAGAACAATAGTAGTAAGAAAAAGAGTGAACAATATATGAAACTCAAACACAGATCGAGAGCAGCCAATGTCTAAAAGAGAATAAAAGTTCAGATGAAATGAGTTCAGATGAGGAACATCTGTAAGAATTTGATATGAATAAAAACAATCTCGAACCTGAGAGTCCGTCTGTGTTTCACTAAAGTGATCGTACACATTTGCAGTTGCATCTCCTGAATGACTCTGGGTTTCATCCTCTTTCTCAAACCTGAAGGGAAAAAGTAATAACACTGAGATCTCAATCAAAAATGGATACATGGCTGCACAAATACAAGAAAATCTACACCAAACCAGCACATTTGAAACCAAAGGCAGAGCACTAGAAAGGGTTTGTCAGAAATCTATGAACTGTTGGATAGGATGTCTTTTGTGTATGGAAAAATATCTAACTGTTTACCAACAGGCTTCACTTCCTACACTGATGATTCCACTTCTTATAGCCCAGTGCCTAATTGTTGCAGCCTGCTGGTCAGGCTTTTTGCTTCATTTTCTTTTGATGCAAAAAATATAGTTTGTAAACCCCAACACCAGATTGTTTGGAGTGGCTGCGTATAGTGTTCCTGAAATAGGACTTAACGTTGTATAATGTAGACCAACATACACTTCACGGGGTTCTCAAATTGAACTTATAATGTTTTACAATGTAAGGCAATGTACACAACCATGGCTTAGAAATCAATAGATGGGATGCCCCTATTGCTCAACGTAAATGTATTTGGAATCTTGGCAGGTAATAGCTCTATTAACCAAGGTATTTCAGTCTCGAACTGTAACTATTTCTAAATAGACAACCATATTAAGAGAACGAAAATGCATTAGTTGGTGGAGGTATTAGCTATCAACTTACCAATACATTACATTAAGAATGTGGACATTTCTATGCAACTATCAGAGTGAAACTTATTTCTCGTCATAATTTGTCAAACTCTTAGGTGAAGAGCAAAAGGAGAAGGGTCATGGGTGCCAATTGCAGCAGCAGTAAGATGAGAGAGTGAAGAGCAAAGATATGAGACAGCACCAAACTTGACTAAAAGCGTGGAAAATTGGTCACCTGTTTGTCCAGTGGTTAGATAATCCAAGCGTAGCATGATGATCTCCATGAGCTTGAGCAAGATTGTTACAACCAGATGTAAAAAGCTGTTTCAGAGTCAAAGGGCTCAAACTTTGCATATGTCAAGAGTAAAGTTGAAAGAACGAAAGAAGAAAGCACTTGGTTAAAGGATACTTCTTTATCACACTCGCTTCTCGATGGAGACTTTTGATCATGGATCTAATGTCAGAAGCCATTGAAAAAATTATAAACAAATCAAGAGCCAGACTTTCCCCAAGACAAAAAAAATAAAGATACTTTGTTTCTCATAAATTACCTTGCTTGTTTGCTCCAATAAGTCCTCTATAGCAGCAGCTACGTCAGGAACTGCAGAAGAACCTTCATTAGTACTTCCTGTCAGGTTCTTTTCTGGGGGACTTGCCCCACAGAATGCATTACTTTCTTTTGGTGAGCAGGGCAATGAACATTTGGGTTCTTCAACCACCAAGAGCCTAGCCTTCTTATTCCATCTGCTTGAATACTTCTTTTCTTCCTTTGCAGTACTTCTACCAGCAAAAGCTTCAGTTCTCACATTTACAAGTTCTTGGAGCGGCTGGGACGCGGTATCACCAGATATCATCCCAAAAGCTTGTGTGGGGAACTGGCTCACCGTGCATGCCCCAGCTTCTCGATCTTCAGAGGTGACTTCTTTAGGATAAAATGGATCTGCAGAAACAATTTTGTTCTGCTCCAGCACAACCATAACAAGAAGCTATCATGAAGCTATAAATAAAGGAGAAGAAGAAAGGAGTACAAAAGGACTGCACTAACCTGATTGATACACTCATAAATCCACTCACAAGTGACTGGTTGTATTCCCCACTTACATGCAGCCTCATATTTCGGGCCATCGGTAAATTTACACAACAAATGTGTGACCTTTTTAGTTAATTTCTCAACAAATTTGGCTCCAATAGTAAAACACAAATTTCTTAGCAGCTGTCTTTCTTTCTCATCATACTGTGAAACACATAAGCGAAAACTCTTGAATGCAGGGAAAGGAACTCGGCATGGAAGTGGAGAATAGAGGATGTGATTACCAACATCCAGCAAGCATCCATCCTTCATAGAAACAATATTCAGTTTTCATTAGCCTCAATTTGTATTATACTAGAATTCAGTGAGTAGAAAAGAAGAGGAGACACTACAGTGTGTGTATTAATGTGATAGACTTTACTGCTGAAATAGAAAATAAGGGAACAAATACTGCTGTTTCACACTAGATTCACTGATATTACAACAACTGATATTACAACAAGAAGTCTGAAAACAAAACAATCACACTACTGACATAATAAATCACATCCTAAGACAATAATGAACTTTAGTTATATAATTGTAAAGATCACAACCTTTCTAGACATTCGAGAGGCTAGAAACTCTCCCAGAATTCCCTTTTCTTAATTTTCTGAATGCCTTTGTTTTAACTGCCCTGCCCCTATTTCTACAGAAAAAACCACCCAATACATGTGTAACTGTCTCATGACAGTTACTAAGTTTCTTAATTGCTTATTTTGGCCTCCTGGAATAAGTTTTTATAACTTGAGGCACATCATTACCCTTCCCTATAAGAATCACCTTGTCCTCAAGGTGAAAGTCTGGAAATTGTTGATCGATGATTGCATATTCCTCCCAAGTATTCTCAAATTCTGATAGGTTCTTCCACTTGATTAGCACTTCCAATTTACCATTGATTAGCTTCCTGGTCTGTCTCACTGCCTCAGGCTCAACTTGAAGCTCCAATTCTTGGGTAAGAAATGGAGGTAGGTTTTGAGCAGAAGTAGTTGGAAACAAGCATTTTCTCAACTGTGAAACATGAAACACTGAATGAATGCGTGCTCCAACTGGTAACTCCAACCGATACGCTACGGGACCAATCTTTTCCAGAATCTTGTAAGGACCATAAAAGCGGGGACTGAGTTTTTCATTGATCTTCTTAGCCAAAGAACGTAGTTTGTAGGGTCGAAGTTTGAGATATACCAGTTCACCAATCTCAAAAGTCAGTTCTCTACGATGTCGATCAGCTTGATTCTTCATTCTTTGTTGTGCTTGTAACAAATGTTCTTTGAGTTCGGTTAAGATCAGATTTCTAGTGCGCACCTGCTCATTTACTTCTTCCACCGCTGAAGTAGTGTCATCCATGTGAAAAATTGATGATGGATCCCTTCCGTATAATGCTTTAAAGGGTGTCATACCTGCAGATCTGTTAAAGGATGTATTAAACCAATACTCAGCCCAAGATAACCAGTGGGACCATTCCTTAGGATTTTCTCCTGCCATACAACGGAGATATGTCTCCAAACTTCTATTCACCACTTCTGTTTGTCCATCAGTTTCTGGATGATAGGAAGAGCTATACCGTAAGGTAGTGCCTGCTAGTTTGAATAGTTCCTTCCAAAATTGGCTTATGAACACACGGTCACGATCAGACACAATAGACTTAGGAAATCCATGCAATTTAACCACTTCCTTAATGAAAACAGCTGCCACATCTTTCGCATTAAAAGGGTGTGAAAGTGGAATAAAATGTGCATACTTAGTAAGACGATCCACTACAACCAAAATAGTATCAAACCTATGGGATTTAGGAAGTCCAGTAATGAAGTCCATACTTACATCCTCCCACACATGATGAGGTATAGGCAAAGGTTGGAGTAACCCCGCAGGACTCAAAGTTTGAGACTTGTTCTTTTGACAGATTTCACACCTAGCAACAAAGTCTTGCACATCCCTCTTCATACCTTCCCAGTATATATGTACTCCTGATTTCACTTCTCTACGTCTAAATTGAGTCTAACACATCAATAATAGAGACAATGTCATTAGAGTATAACTGATTACACCAAAAGACTAAAAGTAAAATGCAGTTTAGTTTAACTTTCTGCACATTGTTCTCTATGCTCTCAAAACATCTTGAATTCCTTTCTTTCCAAACAGCCCACCAGATAGCCCCCGGGATAATTCTCCATCTACCTCTGTCCTTAGCATGTACACCTGCTTCCTCCCAGCATAGTAATGCCTCAGCTACCTTCCTGGGCATTGTCCAGGAGATGCCTTTGAGGCTTAGGAATATTCTCCACAGATGATGGGTGTACTTGCAATGTAAAAATATAGGTGGTTAACAGTCTCAGATGTTTCACCACATAGGAAGCACCTGGAACACAAGGTTCTCCCCCTCTTCATAACATTGTCCTGTGTAAGGACTGCTTCCTTAGCCATTGACCAAACAAAAAAGGAGACTTTGTGAGGGATTCTGCTCTTCCATATTTGCTTCCAAGGCCAACTTGAGCACTGTTGATTTGTCTGATCCATCAACTTGTATATATCTACAAGTTGATGTTCAAAATATATATATCTACAAAAATACAGAAAATTTACCTTATATATACTGTGTAATTTTTTTCCCTGGAACCCACATGGGTCCGCCCCTGGGCAACACCCTTGGGTGCAAAAAAATTTAATTTTTTTTGTCCATTTTCATTTAGAAAGAGATCCTAAACTCACACTTTCTTATTGTTTAAGCTGATGCACTATAGGAAAAGTTGTCAGTATATTGTTCCATGGTTGTCGTGCATTTCTCAGGAACATCTACTTTTTTTATATATATTATATTTCTCTGGTACAAAGTAAAGTTTAATATAAGAAAAACTTGGTGTTCCTAAAAACATATTGTGACCGATGAGTAAAGACAAGACAAGGTTTGAAAGCTTTTACTCTGTGAAGGCCTGAATTGATCAGCACTATTAACTAACTTCTCGGTTATATCATCAAATATGTTTTCTAAAAGTTGTGACGGGTTGAATTGAATAGACCTTATTTTGTTTGGAACCTTTTGTAACTTGTCTGGCGTGACTGAAGTCCGAATGATAAGAACAGCATGTCTGCAATCAAACAGCCCTCTGAAGTCTGAACTTCTCTGATTAAGATAGATCTTGAAATCCTATGGACAATAGCTTGGAAAGATATTTACACTCGCATAAAATACAAAAGATCTTAGGCATACAGGGTCTACAACAAAAGTGGATCTTGGTTATTGGCTGTCTCACTTCGTAGCACTGGCCCTAATTACCACCAGGCCCTCATTCAAATGAGTTATTAAGTCCCTTCTGATGTTTAGGTATTTCAGTTTTGTTTGACTTTTCATTTTTTGGATTCCAGGAATAGAATGAGAATGCTCCTCTGAAACAAGCATCTTATTAGAGAGTAATTGGATTTTTGTATAATTGTTGGGCTTCATGTTTTCACATGGTTTATTTCCTCTTGACAAAGTACAGGTCTAATTTATTTAGTCTTTTTCATTTGGGTGTTTTGTGTTTCAGATCGGTTTGTTGCTGCTAGAATCATTGCCGCTTCTTGGTTATTTTTCATTGTTCCATCCTGAAAACCAAGCTGTTCTTCGATGGGGAAAGAGCCCTACTATTCTTCACAAGGTGCATATATCTTTCTTTCTACTTAGACTTTGCCTGAAAAATAGAAATTTAACTGTGGATTGTGCAAAACAGGTATGCGACCTTCCTTTTATGTTCTTTAGTGATCCAGAGTTAATGCCAGTCTTGGCGGGTACCATGGTTGCTGCCTGCTTTGGATGTGAACAGAACAAGGATGTCATTCAGCAAGAACTAAGCACCGATATGCTCCTTGCTTTGCTGAAAGCTTGTAGAAGTAGTCTTCCCTCTGCTAATTCTTTTACCATACCTAATAATCCATCACTAGATGAGGCTGGTGCAACTGCTCAGCTGGGTCCTGAATCTAAAAATCTTCAAGTTGATGTCCCACTAAAGTCAAACCGCAATAGTCGCAATGCTCGGGTCCTTCCCCAAAGAGGTAGTCCATTGCTGACTACTAGAACTGCCAGGATCCGAAGCTTAAGAGAGAACAAAGTGGTAAAGCCTTGTGAAGGCAAGAGTCTGAAAAGCAATTCACCTGTGCCAGAGAGCACAACCGCATGGATGTTACACTCTAGACTATCTACTGACGTACTTGATAAAGCAGAGCAGTTTTTTGCTGCAGTCACCTGCAATGAGAATGGAGAATTATGAATTTACTTACTGTATAGCTTTAAGTTGTATCCATTTTTTTGAGTGCTTAATGTCAAATAAGCATGGTATATGACACTGTAATCTTCTTTACAGTTAGATACTGCTGGTTATTCGTTAGGAACTGCTAAATTTAAAGATGTAGGTTCCTTTAAACGCTAATAAGACAACTGCAGCAACTGTTGCTTGATTTTAGTGACATCTTACTGCACTTCTAAATTCTAAAGCCACTCTCTTTTTTCCTAAGAAAGCTTTATTTACCACCTGAACTTTCTGTCTATTATCTTAACAAAGGAGTTGTGTAAATAATGGCAAGTGAAGCATCTCTGATCATCATCTACCAGCTGAAGGAGTTGTTGGAGGCTTGAGGATGGTGCAATTCATTAGCTTGTAGTTTCTGCTTCCTATCCAGTGTGTTATTTGCTCTACATATTACATAGGTTTTTTATGAGACTAATCCTTCTGAGTAAAGGATCTATCGAAAACAATCTCTCTCTACCCTACAAATGTAGGGGTGAAGATTGAGATGTTAGTTGTGATCACAGTTTGAGAGAAATTACAGTGCTTATGTCTCTGCTAAGCAATCATGTGGAGTATCCAATTTCATTGACTTAGTTTATTCATCTAGTTGCTTATTTACGAGGTTAATGACATCATGGTCTTCCAACCCTCCCTCCACTTGTGGGATTACAGTGGATTATGTTGTTTTATGAGACTAAATTATGTAATTGAATAAGCTACTCAAGACCAACCAAACATCAGGATGGTGTCTCAAACACCATATCAATGATTTTATGTAGTGGATACACAAGGTTTTCAGTACTTCAACCTTTTTCCTACAAGAAACTGAATATATAAAAAGTTAAAACAAAGCAGCATGATATATAAGCAAATCACTCGGAAAATTTCCCACAAACGTGTCCCAAAATACAATTGGCAAACCAATTCTGATCAGATAATATAATAGATCGTGTAAGTATCCAGAAACTCACTCACATTATGATAGACTTTATTGCTGAAATAGAAAATAAGGGAACAAATACTGCTGTTTCACACTAGATTCACTGATATTACAACAACTGATATTACAACAAGAAGTCTGAAAACAAAACAATCACACTACTGACATAATAAATCACATCCTAAGACAATAATGAACTTTAGTTATATAATTGTAAAGATCACAACCTTTCTAGACATTCGAGAGGCTAGAAACTCTCCCAGAATTCCCTTTTCTTAATTTTCTGAATGCCTTTGTTTTAACTGCCCTGCCCCTATTTCTACAGAAAAAACCACCCAATACATGTGTAACTGTCTCATGACAGTTACTAAGTTTCTTAATTGCTTATTTTGGCCTCCTGGAATAAGTTTTTATAACTTGAGGCACATCATAATGACTGCCACCTTAGATGAGCAGATATAGCTTAGCATCTCAAGATAACAGAAAATGAGTCTACCGAAGAGAACCAATCAACCCTTCAACTCCCCTCACTCAGGTTCAGGGGAGTATGTATCTAAAGGACTAATAGACTTCAAAAAAGATAAAAGACAAGATCATCAAAAAGACATGAAAAAAATGAAAATGAAGTTAAACCAATTCCTTTCCTGCGAGTTCGTAGATGGACCACAAAAGTCAATCTTTTTGGAAAGGATTTCATTTTTATTCCAGTCAACTTCAGGTAGAAGTAGTTATAGAGCCATCTTATATGTTAGGACTTTTATAGTGCTGCTCTCCACTATAACATTATTTTCTTGTGACAGTCTCCACTGGAGTTTGATAGTCATCTGTCACCCTGGCGAGGTTGTTACCTTTAGAGGTATATTCCATGGCTTGTATGTTTCTGTTTCTAGTTAAAAGGATTATTCTTAACTGGAGAAAGTTTCTAGCAGAGGAAGAAATGGAGAAATCATCTAGGGTTCCATGCATCTTGCACATGGACTCAATCCGAGGGAGCCACAAAGGCCTGAAGAATCTTATACAAAGGTATAATCCATTTTTGGTTGCTTTGACTCACAAGGTTGAGTAGTTATTAATTTAGTCACAATCATGTACAACAAGTTAACCATGTTTTGTATACTATATGTACATCCGTATCAATAGTTTACTATGTAGCATTTAGTCATTCACCAAACAACTGAGCATATTGCAAACTACTACGATTTTCTGGAGACTTCTTTATAAGGTAGTCTCTATATTAGTGAAATTCGTTTGAGATTTCACTATGAAAGACTGAGATAGCTTCTGTATTATAATGGAAATAGAGAAATTTTCATGTCATGTGAGTGCAGTTACTTATTGGAAGAGTGGAAAGAGAGGCACAAGGAAGTGGGAGAGGATGTTGCGAAGAAGTTCTCGAGTCTTCCGTTTGTCCGTCTTGAGGTATCACTCATTCCCCATCTCTCTATCATGCATTGAAAATGTCGTTTCCTTTTTCAGGTTATTGTCAACAAAAACAATGGTTGTCTTTTCGGAAATCTGGTTATTGCACATATATAATGAACACTCTTGCTGTTTATAGGTTAACAAAACAGTTTTATTATCATCTTCAACCTCATGTGTACTTTATTTTTTTGATGACAAGGGAAACCCGCAGCCGCTACCCTTTGGGTGCGCACAGGGTAAAACCCCCACTCCTATGCAATAGCTCGCAAACCACATAGGAGAGGTAACCCACACTAGGCAAGCCCGGTGCGACGAGCTCGACCCAGAAGGCAAACCCCTTGCTTTCGCTGGCAAGGTGTTTCGAACTTGAGACCTCCAACATGGAAGTCCCAAGCCCAAACCACTGGGCCACCCCGAAGGGTTATATATATATATATATATAGTTAAATCGTCATTATTGCATTAAAATACTTGCAAAGCAAAACACATATTTCGTGTGAATTCAAGAATATTTTCTCTATTAGCGACTTGAAATTTTAGATGAGCATATCCATATATTTTCTAGCGGAAATCGTTCATAAGCTTACTACAATCACATAACTCAAAATGAGTGTGAATTCTGCAATTTCGTCATTTCTTCTAATTTAACAAGGGTTTATGGAAAGATTAAAAGCGGGCCGATTTAGGAGCTTGTAATGAAGTTTCCTGAGCCAAGAAAAACACAAGGAGCAGGATGATTGCTGATTTAAAGGAATCAACCCTAACATCTTCCTACTTCTCTTAGATTTGTAATACATATGTATTATGTTGTTCCTGTGCTATTCCATGAGCCAAGTTGTATAATAATAGGAATTTAATGAAGGCAAGGATGGATTAAAGATGTAACTGAATTTTCCTTGATTTACATTAGATGGGTCTTGTATTATTTTATTCAATCTTGTGCTTAATTTGTGTAATTGAGTGGCCACCCATTGCAATTACAACAACAACAACATACCTAGTGAAATTCCACAAAATGAGGTCTTGTGAGGGAGGGTAGAATGTATGCAGACCTTACCCCTGACCCGTGGAGGTAGAGAGCTTGTTCCCGAAAGACCCTCGGCTCAAGTGAAGCAAATCAAAGAAGTAATGAAAAGGAAAAATAACAATGAATAAAACATGACAACTAATAGGAAAGCAAGTGCATAGCATACAAGCAAGGAACACTAACATCAACAAAATGGTGTGGTCACCTATAGATGCATATGGTGACAAATAACAAAAGCCAACTTCATGAATAAAGCTAATACTACGACATAGACAAAGTTTTAGACAACCACCAAGCCTAATCTTGTCAATAAGAAAGACAATGCTTAACTACCTAATAATCTTCTACCCTAATACGCAACCTCCAAACCCGTCTTTGGTAAGTTGAAGTTGCATCATGTCTTGTCTAATCACCTCTTTCCAATACTTCTTTAACCTACCTCTACCTCTCCTCTTCACCTATCGCAATTGACTGCAAATAATATAGTGAAATTGAAAAAAAGAGTACAGGGTTGAACACATTGAATAGTGTAGGATCAAAATAACTAGATCATTAGTTGGATTGATTTTTGAATTACTAAAGGCATATACCAATTTACCCTACATAGCCATGAATTGGGCTTCAAACAGGCGCATCCTAATAAGCTCCATTCTCATAGGAATATAGAAAATAGGCTTGTAGGAATTCAAAAGATACATGCACATAAATTATTGTCCAAGGTTAATAACTAGTACATTTAAGTGGAGCATAAGAGGTTTAACAAATTGAACAGAATGCTTGGGCAAATCTAAATCCATGATCTTGAACCTATTCTGAATTCCAAACCCATTTAAGCTTTCTTAGTTAGATATTAATTTATTTTGCAGATCGTCAAGTCATACCTTTTCCGGTCTTGAATAATACTAAACTGCAGAAGCTTTTTTTTTTTTCCTTACAAATTAACTAGTATTAAATTCTGCAGAAGCTTATAAAAACAATAGGAAAATAAAAGAAGGGATCAAAAAAAGAGCTTGAGGGGCACACATTCAAGTACCTCCAGACAAGACTTAATCCAGTGACTTGATACAAAAGTAGTCGCAGCACCAGCTTTCTCGGAACGCAACATACCATGACACTCGACAGTGAAATGCACATTTGTATCATTCTGATCTTTGACCACCACTCCTCCCCCTTGATTAACCCACTCAACAATTTCAGCTCTCTGGACAGATTATGAAAACATTAATATCAAATTAGTACATAACTTATAACATATAATAGGAGCTGGAAAGATGATGAGAAGGTTAAAGGAGAAACCTAGACGCTGTACAAGTCAAATGGCGATAAATCTATACATTTCTAGAGGATGAACCATTCAACAATATACAGAATAAGCACTGCTGGACAAAGTAGGAATTCTACTCCTTATATGAGAACCAAAATAAACTAGAAGCGCTAAATTAGGGAGGTAAAGGTGGCAAATTCCACGAGGCCTGTTCATTGTTTTTATACAAGCTAAAAGACACTTCTAAATACATCGACATCCAGAAGATTGTGTTTCTTACTACTATAATATAAAGGTTCAACGGTGTCAAGCTCCCAGACAATCTAACGGTGTCAAGCTCCCAGACAATCTTTAGACTTTAATAGCCTATATGGAATTGTAATTTTCGGTCCTTACTAACTAGCCTTTCCTTCAGATAATCTTTAGAATTTTAGATGAAGAACACAACGAACCATTTGCTCTCATTTTCTTCAAGGCCTTAACAAAATACCAAATAAAGTGAATCACTTGTTTTAGGGAATGAACTTCAAATGAGCTTGCAGTTTGTGCTCCTGCATAGTAACATCCACAAATCTAGCTAATAATTTTGAGAAATCAGAAAATCAAGGGTAACTTGGGTGGATCCATAGATATGTTCTCTATGTGAAACAGGAAGAGAAAACATATAAGTTACAGAAAACTCAGCTACACTATGTAAATCTAAGAAAACCCACCCGATCAGCAGGAAATGAAGCTGAAAAGCAAAATTGCCTTCCCTCGAACACGCTAGATGGCTTTCTACCATTAACAGCACAACTGGATTCATTCGGTATCTTGAACTCTTCTTTACCATTAGAAGCATAGGGCTGATGTTGAACCCCGTTCTCTCCCAAAGAAGTTCTAACGTCATTCATATTTTCTAGTTCTTTGTTTTCGTATGATGGCATTGCACATCTAGAATCCCTGCTTCTCCATGCTTGTTCATCAGAAGACATAGGATGCACATAGGATTTTCCTTGTCTTTTCATAGTCGTCGTGATTGCAGCTCCGTTACTACAGTGAATAGGATCTAGAATCCAAAATACAGAAAGTGGGAAATAAGTTTGTGAAGAAGGTACAGCATGTAACATTTAGATGAGCGTATGTCTTTTTCTTAAAATAAGGTATTAGATGAAAGTAGGGCATTAGTGTTGTACAAATAGCTTCTTGCAACTAGTACAATGTAAAATATCTCATAAACTGAAAAATTGAAATGGTTATCAGACCTTTCGGAAGAAGTAAATCATAAGCAATATGCTTCCTTAGAACAGGAACTTCTTTATTCTCACGATCACAATCCTCCAGCCATCCTGACTTTACCACATGAATGACACCCAAAGCCGCAAGGTTTCTTAATTCTTTGATCTCACTACAAGATTATAATTTTTCATCAATAAATGAGAGTAAAGAGTTAAATTGTGCAACAGTTACAACAGAATATACTTGCAAGGAGTTGCACACAGAATGATAAATATATCTGCCGTGGATATTCATAAGATGCACACACAAATTATCTTTTTTTGAAAATTGGTAAGTTTATACACATACAATTTATCTTAGGTGATAAGGCCCTTATATCAAAACAAATAGAAGTACAAGGCATCCAATGATTAACATCATTATACACACTAGACTTTCTTTTTTATTTTTCAGTCAATCCCTTAATGTATGTGATCTACTCTTCTTTTTTTTTTTGATGAAGTGATCTACTTTCTACAAGGTATAATGTCAGGTAAACCTGTTTACTTGTCTAAGGCTCAAAGCCGATGATCAGGAGGTCAAAAGTCAGCAGTAGATCTGAATGGAACAAGAAATTTTCCTTCTATTTAGTTGCATAGTAAAAAAAAAAAAACTTAGTTTGGTCAGATAAGAGCACTCGGATAGAAATTTGATACAGTTATAGCTAAGTGCCATGAAGAGTATGATTCTGTTGAAAGTTAGAGAATATGTGTTTGGATTCAAACATGCCTAGATTCATTGAAGTTGTACGGAAAATGTTAAAGATGTCCTTTTGAAAAGGTAGGTAATTTTAGAGAAAAAAACAGAAAGGATGTGCTTTAAAAGCTGTACACTATTTACAGAAGCAAAAGCATGTCCTTTCTAATCTAAACTTCTAGTCCTCGAGGGCATCAAGCATCTGTAAGTCTGAATCAATATCATTTACATGTTCCAATCTACACCATGAGCAAAACAAAACTACACATTTAGAACTTATCTTAATGATAGAATCAGCAAAGTCATCAAAACATCTCGTATTCCTTTATATCCAAATAGTCCACCAAATGCATGCCAGTATGGTGTTCCACCCACCTATGCTTGTTCTTTCCAAGTCCAATTCTGTTTCACAACTCAGTTGTTGATGCAAACCAATAACATTCATAAAGAACAGCCACAGTTGGGATGTAATTTGGCAGAGCAAAAACAAGTGACAAATGCTCAGGCTCTTTCCCACATAGGAAGCATTTACTGCATAGGACCAGCCCCCTCTTTAGTGAATTCTCGTGTGCAAGACAAGCTTCTTTGCTCATGATCCAAGTGAAACAGACTACCTTTAGAGAAGCTTTACTATTTCAGATTTTCTTCCAAGGCGTTTGTAGGTTCACTTCTCTTGTGAGATCTTTGTAGCAAGAGGACACTGAACAAATCTTTGTTGTTGGGCAGCCATCTTATGCTAGCTTCCGAGTTGGTCAGATGCTGAAATGTGCTTATATGATGGAAAAAGTCAGAAGCCCTGTTGACCTCCCAGACATTGAGATTCCTTCTGAAGTTGACGTTCAAAGTCCAATTCTCTCTGTTTCCTGCCAAAGAAGCTCAACTATTTGCTGCCAGTAAAACCAAATCTGGAAACAAGTCCTTCACAGGCTCATTTTCAATCCACTTATCCTTCTGAAGG